GACGATTTCAAAAACTAATATTGTATTCTTAATCAGCATGTTTGATTACCCCCCTGTGCTAAATCCCAGCCTCGCATGTCAAAATTTACAAAAAAATCGATAAAATCGATAAAAGTAATGGACGGTTTCAAAAACTAATTTTGTATTCGTAATCAGCATGCTCGATTACCCCCCCCCCTGTGCCAAATCCCAGCCCCTTAGGTGAACTCAGCAAAAAATTGATAGAAATTGATAAAAACGATATCGATCGATAACGAAAAGTAGCCTATGACACCCGCCCGGCCCCGAAATGTATGTGTGCCAAGTTTGGTCCGGATCGGTTCAGAAATGGAATTTTCTATTCGGAACATACGTACAGACATACAGACAGAGAGACAGACAGACAGACAGACAGACATACAGACAAACAGATATTCAGCTTTATATATAAGATGGTGATATATGTATCAAACTCTCTAACTGTGTGACTGAAACGTCTTTTCATGTCCTCAAAATTTGTTCACGAGTGGCTTCCGCGATGCTCAATGCTGATGGAACTGAATGTTATTGTCATTAAATGATGAATTCTTCCACCCGTTTGCTATATCACTCCAAAAAACAAAAACTTATTTAAGGTCATGTTTTGCTTAATATTTGAAGTAACTGCAAACTTTATGTTTGCCTCTAAAGTGCATGTTGATATGTTGTGTAGTCACAAAACTGATCAGTGCCATTGAGATCACTTATCCCGAACTTTTATAATTACATTGTTTGGGAACTGGTTCGTAAATGCTGCATTTTAATTACTTCTTTTCGATAAATTAGACAGAGCACCCGTGTACTTACAACGCAACAAAACGCAACTATTTTGATGAATTCGCAGAAAGTTTGCTGAAGGAAAAGTGCTCGTATACAAAAAAAAGTGGACTGAAAAAAAGTTTGTTTTTAATGCATCTGCTGCCACAACACAATCAATAAATTGCGCTCGTTATTTTTGTTTCAATCTGTAACAGTTTATAACTAAATTGTTGGAAGTAGTTCGCCTCTAAACTGACTGATCGAAACAAATTCCTTTATAGCCACTTACACAGAGGCGTGGAAAAAATTGACGGTTCGTAATACTCGAAATTGAGACCTTCCAGAAAAGAGAAGGCATGCAATACACTTTTTTGTCTTTTCCATCATTCTGGGTTTGAAAGAAGGATTTGTTTTATAGGCTAACAATTCGCTGAGAAAACCTGAGCTCCGACTCCCATACAGAATGTTTACCTTCTAGGGTGCACCTTTTCGGTGCTACATTGGAAACTCTTTGCTGATCAGTGCAAGATCAAGCGTAAGCATTACTTCATTTTTTTATGCTTTTTGCGTGAACTTTTATAGTGTTTTATAGGAGGTTTTTAGAGGTCCGAATATACTCCAACTTGTTCTATAAAAAAACAAAGGTTATATCAAAGCTGTTTTATATAGTTATATCAACGCTATTATCAAGGTTATATCAAAGCCGCTTCCCTTGTGAGCTCCCCATACAGAATACTTTTGTTGTTGATTATTTAACTCTGACTAGACTATCTATTAATCTAAGACCCTTAGCAGTGTAGATCTACATGTATTTTATATACAACCAGTGCGTCACCTCTGCTTCGCAGAGGTTCGCACTGGCTTTACCATCTACGTGTCTTACTCATTCTCGTGAAATCATGGCATTGGAGCTCACCGCGCTATGCCGACTACCACGAATAAAATGTAAACAACCACTCATTTAGAGTCTTTTCACGTGAGATCGGTGATTTCGCGTGGATGTAACTTTTCGCAGGAAGACAAACGCAAATTTGAATAGGTTTTTGGGTTTGTCATGACTTGGTAGTCGCCATAAAGGTAATGATAACCGTGAGCTACATCACTGTGCGAAAATCTTCTCAAACGCTTAGCTAGAACCTTGGCAAATTGACCATTTACACAACCAATTCGTTTTGGCGCCGTTTTCGTTATGTAGTAAACTTTCGACCACTTTTCTGGCTAAACTCCATCTCTTGCACATTTGCTTACCAAACTCATCCACGACTCTGCAAAAAGTGGTTATACGGACCAATTTTGCGGAAGCCAGGTCGACCCGTTTGGCGCGCAGTTTCTGAGTCCACTCAACGAATCTACTCGTGCTTTTGCATGTTGGACTTTTATGAAGGTAGCATGCGTTACACAAAATTTGGGCTTAGAGCGCTGGCTGGAACACGCTCCACGAATTTCGTAACAGACACACACACACACACACACACACACACACACACACACACACACACACACACACACACACACACACACACACACACACACACACACACACACACACACACACACACACACACACACACACACACACACACACACACACACACACACACACACACACACACACACACACACACACACACACACACACACACACACACACACACACAAAGTCACGTAAACATCCTTAGCCTGTTATTATAAGTTATGATACCTGATAGTTTGTCGTTGACAAACGTTAGTGTTCACTGACCACTTAAGCCTCCAGGTCATCCCTTCACTGTGCTTGATAGTCTACTTGGCCGCGCTTACTTTCAAGTAGGCAGTCTCCGATTCTGTATGATATTGTTATTTGCCGGAGATGAGCATTCAGGTTATCTATGCTCAAAATAGTAACATAAAAGGGCCTGAATACTCAGTCTTGGTGTTGGTTCGATATATTACACCTCTATCGTCAGTGACTGCTCCGCTGCTAACTAACAAACACTTAAATAAGGTTGTGGTACCAGCTTGCAAAGTTTCTCTTTCAGGGTGACGCTGTGTTGCATTGAAAACTCACTGCGGATTAGTTCAAGCGTAAGCATTACATCATTCTTTTATGCTTTTTGCGTGAATTTCTAAGATGCTTTATAGGAGATTTTTAGAGACCCGAAAATACTCCGATATCTTATATATAAAGCTGAATGTCTGTTTGTCTGTATGTCTGTCTGTCTGTCTGTATGTATGTACGTATGTTCCGAATAGAAAATTCCATTTCTGAACCGATCCGGACCAAACTTGGCACACATACACATCGGGCCCCGGCGTGTCATAGGCCACTTTTCGTCATCGATCGATATTGATTTTATCGATTTTTTGGAGAGTGTTTTTGGAGAGATTTTTTGGGAGTTGACACAGGGGGGTAATCGAGCATGCTGATCACCCCCGTGGGGGTGATCAGCATGCCCGATTACACCCCTCTGCCAAATTTCAGCCCCCTAGCTCAAATTTTGCAAAAAATTGATAAAATCGACATCGATCGATAACGAAAAGTGGACTGTGACACCCGCCGGGGCCCGAAGTGTATGTGTGCCAAGTTTGGTCTGAATCGGTCAAGAAATGGAATTTTCTATTCGGAACATACGGCGGAGCCGGGTAAGCCAGCTAGTGTTCGATAAAGAAAGCAAAGGTTCTATCAAAGTTGCACAGATGTATTTTCTTCGTCTCGCGTGGCGAGTTCACCAAACGTTTATGCCTGTTTAGGTTGGACAAATTCTTAAAACCATGGTACAGGCGCGGAAGAGTGTGACTTGAAACAACTCATTGAAAAAAATTTGATGTTGATGTTGAGGTCACGATGCAGTAGGTATTTATTGCATCAGCCGCTATGGTAATTTTGCGTCTTTCAAAGTTCTGGTGATATTGAGTTTGAATTTGCCGCTATTTTGGACAATTTCGTGGTGAGCAATGAGAACAATGAATTCCGGAAGAAAAAGCTTCGCGAAGCATTTCGGCTTTATTATAAACAAATGAGAGAGCTATAACAAAAAACCGGGACCATGACAAAAACCATAAGAATGACTAAGGTTCTAACAAAACTCAAGGTTTTCAAAAATGAACCTTTTCTTTCTAATCAACGCATGCTTATCATTACCTCATTCTTTCATTTTAGGAATACAAAATAGAAAGTGTAAATAAATATTGTAATAAGATATAAATTAACATAAATAATAAAGTAGACGCGTAAAAGCTGCAGTCAGTTGTAGCTAAATTTCTGCCAAACCAATATAAATTTTTAAAAGTAAATTTTTTTCCTTCTCAACAATACACACTATCATTGCCACATTGCAATTTCAATAACTTAGCAATTTTTTACTTCATCCAAAGCTGTGAGCTTTTTCCATCTTCGTTAACTTGCTGTTTGCTTTGCACACTTTGCCAACGAATTTTTTTTTTCGTGAAAATTTTTTTGTACACAAATTTTCGCACTGTCGTATGCTGCCCTCGTTAATACACTTGAGTACTGTAATGTGTCTCATTTGAATAGCGGTGGCAAAAATTCAAGGGGAGGGGATTTTTCCAATAAATTAAGTGGTTCAGTGGACTCTGCGTTAACGTTCTAACACAAAATGTAAGTGCTTATCCTTTCTTACCGAATTCTGCAACATCTTCAAGTAGAACGCAGACATACGCGAGTTTCATAATTTGGCATGGGAGCCTGCACATCTCGCGCGGCAAGCGACGACACTTTATAGTAACTTAGCACTAAAACCTTTTCTTGAAACATTTTGTAAAAAAATTTACTTACCCATTCGTACTCAACATAAAGAAAAAAATAAAAATTCTTGGAAAAACTTCTGAGTTATTAGTCGTGAAATAGCGCGCTTGGTGTGCAATGCGCATATCATACTACACTTGCCTCAATGATGAGACCTCATACTCTTACCAGCGCAAATTGCTCAACCGGAAAACAATTTAAGTCTACAAAATCATTCTTTATTCATGTTTAGGGTAACGGCACGTCTCCGATTTGCGAGACATTCTACGAGCTTTGGAAGACAACGTGAGTGAGGAAGAATTAGACGAAATGATCGCTGAAATTGACACAGATGGAAGTGGAACAGTTGACTTCGATGGTAAGGGCTCGACACACTTTGTGCAAAAAAAAACAGATAATGGCTATTCTTTTAGAATTTAAGGAGATGATGTCTGGAGAATAAGGAACGTGCGGCCTGCATTTCATTCTTTCGTAAACCTTTTGTAGCACTGGTCAAATGTATTGTCGATGTTCATGATAAAATATTGAAAAAGGCAAACAATAAAAACAGTACTTAGCGAAAACAATTTATCGAAGAGTTGTATCGAAAGTATGAAGTACAACAATTAAGCACATTTGATTTCTTTGTTTTCATGCTTACAAATAAAATCTTGAAGCGCTCACAACTTGTTGCTTAACCATTTCCAGTCAAAATGTCCAAAACAGATGATAAATCTGCACGCTGACTTATTGCTACTGACAACATCCTGATGATGTTTCCACTGCAGAAATTTTTGTAGAAAGTGGGATTTTTAGTCAGTTAGGGATGATTTTCCTATGGTTTGGAAGCCAAAATCAGGCAAACCAAGATTGGATATGTACTTCTTATAAGCCACTTAATCAGGGCTCGGCCCAGGTGGCTTGATAAGCAAGCTAGATATCGTGTTTGGGACAAAAAGCAAATTTCGTTTTTGTGGCTGAAATAACACAAAATTTGTTTTTTTGTTTTTTTTGTGGACGTTTCGTTTTTTGGAAATTTCAGGAGTATGGTTCAGAATCAAAGTGGACCCCGTAAAATCTTGGAAAAGTCAAGTGGAACTTCGTTTTTTTTGCATTTACCAAAAGCCACTCCCATTCCGAGCCGCACTTAATTTGTCAGGAAAATAATGAAGAGTGAACGATTTACAATACTTCAAAGCATCAAAGAGTCGCACCAATTGTGTTTCAAAGTATTCATATTTTGCATGGAAAAATTAAACAACAGGATGACAAAATTGTTGATGTGAAAAAGATTAGAGCTTTTCGAAAGCTCAGTAACTTCGACATTGTTCTAAGCAGGAACATGCTTACGATCAACAGTGTTGCAGTAAGTTCTGAACAAATCCACGTCAATTCGTAGGGATTCAACTGAATCAAAAGGAAAGGCACAAAGGAAATGAGCGATCGAAAATTTGCGATTCTACGAAATTATTGAAACTTGAGATTTATGCAGCGGCGCAGCAGTCATCGTACCTGAGGATGGATAGCATTTACAGATGTGTTTCTTTTGAAACGGAGAGGGGAGTTTCAAAGATTTGTCGTTCCCTTCGCAAAATTGTATCGCTTTCTGGACTTTTTATCAATAAACCATCAAATGAGTAAATTCATTTTCTAAGATAGAAAGTGCCCACGTTATTTAACCTTTCAATAGAAATAACCTTGAGTTTTTATAATAAAGGGATCCGAAAAAGAAGGTCTTCAAACGATCCTACGCTAAAGCAATTGGTGTCTCAAAATTTAGAATGACTGTAGCATGGTTATAAAAATTCGAGATAAGGAAATAGTAGAGACCAGAGATGTTGGAACAATTAGTGAAGCTAAAAACTTGGAAAAACCTCAGAAACTTAAAGCAGTGAGCACTTGAGATCGTCTTATTCGGTAAAATTTCATTAATAACGCAGTTTTGCGATTGTGCAAAAGCGTACTGTTTCCTATGTTGACTTCGAACCAGTTTCTTGCCGTGTAAAAGAACCAAGCTAATTTTCCGAGTGAAGACGGAAGTAGTGGATAGAAAATGACAAAAAATTTGCAATTTACCAAGTCGAGGCCTAAACAGGTCTTCTTTTTGGCATTTGGCTTTTTAATCCACTTAAACTGCTTACACAGAGCTTTTACAGTCGAAGGAAACAGGCTTGGTAAATTCTCCTCCCATAACCTTTGGAGTGATTCAATACACTCAGAAAATCTAAATCTTTTCTGTAGCAATAGTCCCTCCAGACATTAAAAACTGATATATAAAGAATCGTTAGCTCAATTCAAAAATCTTCCAATACCCGGAAACCGCGGTGCGGTTGCAAAGCGCGCGGATGTAATCTAGCACCTTTAAATACTGGTTCACTAGTAATCTAGAAAACATGCTCGAAAAATTGAAGTGAGAAGTCGCCTATATTCAAAACACAAATGCTTTAGCTCACATTCTGCCGTGAATATAATGGGATTATCATAGGGGGAGGGAGGGACTACGATAAGCATGGAAATCTTCACTCTGTTTACTTGCTTTGGCAAGAGTGGATTGTTTCTTTAGAACGCTGACTAGCGCTTACGAGAGATAAGAGAAGAAAACACTGCTAACGCATCAGAAAATTTGACCATTTTCTTTGCGTTACTTACTTGTGTATGAACTCAGTTAAATTACGTATCATGTTAACTTACCAGTGGAAATGTGAAATAAGAGAAGTTCCTCTTCTAATCTTATTTCAGAGATCTAGTAAAATAAACTAGATTACGTTCAGCTATATGACTAATCATTTCCAAGCATTGTAAGCTTCGATGTGTCGCTTGTGTTTCGAGGAAAAGGACTCTTCTAACACAAAGTAACAAAGCGCTTACAAGGAGAGTCAGGTAGTCTCAGATTCTGTTTTGAGATGAGACACATATATTTGGGATCAGCTTCAAACGCTAATTCCAAATATGCTACATACTCTTAGCTGGCTTCATTGTGAAACGAATTATTGTTTTTTTTTCTGTGCAAATTGTGCATGATCTTTGACCTACTGGCATTATTGTATCATAATTTAAGTGCTGATTTACAGCGTTGAGTTTCTCAATTATGAAAGACTCAATTTGATATCCAGTATTCCAGGCACAATTTCAAGGCAGATTTCCATCTACAAGCAGCTTTATCTTCCTGCAGAAAAGAGCTCAGGGCTCTGTTTAGAATAATGCGCCACACAAAGAAAGTATATTTGGAATCATGCGTTCAAGACTGATTTCAAGTATAGGTGCCACATCTTAAAACGCGAATCTAATTTACCTGACTTGTTTTGCTGAATTGGCAAAGAGAGGAGATCTCTACAAACCATCGAGTGATACAACATGGATAGAAGTTTGGGTATGAGGCAAACGCCCAGTAAATTATCGTGGATCACAGACCAGAAGCAAGAAGAAATGATGCATTGCTTGAGTATTGATGGCCTTATAAGGGAAGGAAAGCAGCTCAAGGTGGCGATTAAAGAAATTCTTTAAACGCTTTTCCAAATCTGCTTTCCTATTTTGAAGGAACAACACTGAAATTGTGAGCGTTCAAATGTCCAAATTTGTCAAGCTTTGAAGGTATAAAATTAGCGACAAGCTTTACAAAGACACCTTAACAAATTTCCACCGGCTGCGTTCCTTCCTTGTAGTCAAAATATTTGATACATAAATATATAAAATATTGAAAATATTGAATATTTAAAACATAAATATATAAAATATTTTGATATATAAAATTGGCGTTAATATTTCGGTGTGTGTTTTTGGGTAGGTGTTTTCAGGTGATTTTGGTGTGTCAGGTGTTTTTGTAGTTCTTTCGCTAATTCTGTGCCACTTGAAGCTTGCCAATTTGAGTATTGTAAAGCTCACAACTTTTTTCAGAGGGTTGTTCCGCGGAAAAAGGAAAGCAGAATTGAAAATAGCGTTTAAAAACGCGTCTATAAAATATTAGGTCGTCCCGAAAGTATTTTCGCTTTTTTCAAACGGTTGCCACAATCGATGGAACAAATCTTTCTAAGAGATCTTGGTGGCATTCGATGCAAAATTTCATTCTCTTTCTAATGGTTATAAAACTGTTGCAAAAATATCAATGAGCTTTCAGAAAATAACCAAAATCTGCGACCCATGCTTTTTGAGATGGTCAAGTTTCACGATTTTTTAAAACTTTCATATCAATCCTCAGAAGGAGTTCAAGCAAAGATTCGATAGAGTAAACCTCATAGAATACAGTACTTCTTTTTTCTCTTTCTCATAGCTCGCCGTAATTTTTTAAAAGATTTTTTAACAAAGCCATCGGATTTTGGTAGTCCCCACCTCAGCCATAATCGCATCAAACATCAGTAGTTACTCGGAATTGCAAGCTTTCAAGATGATATATGACTTAATATTGAATTTATAAAGCAAATGAGAGTTTACGGATTCGAAATATCAAATTTCGAGTTTTCCGGGTACAGCCTGGGGGCTCCTTAAAAAAAATGAATTGTGATGATTTTATCCCCGAAAACTAAACGAATCGGAAACAAAAAACACTGATTAGAAAGAGGAGAAAATGCTGCATCAAACAGCACCCGAGCTGCTCTTTCTTTGATGTTCTACAAGGATTTAGCTGTCCAAATATGGAAATCGGTAGCATCAGTTGAAATTCTATTAAAAATGTATGACAAGCTATGGAAAACAGAAAAACGTTGCACTGTATTCTATGAGGTTTACTCTATCGAATCGTTACTTGAACTCCTTCTGAGGATTGATATGAAAGTTTTAAAAAATCGTGAAACATGACCATCTCAAAAAGCATGGGTCGCAGATTTTGGTTATTTTCTGAAAGCTCATTGACTTTTTTGCAACATTTTTATAACTATTAGAAAGAGAATAAAATTCTGCATCGAATGCCACCAAGATCTCTTAGAAAGATTTGTTCCATCGATTGTGGCAACCGTTTGAAAAAAGCGAAAATACTTTCGGGACGACCTAATATATTCTTTCTATCGCCACCTCAAGTTCGTATTCTCTCTTTAAATTTGCCTCTTAACACTCAAGCCATTGGGGAGCGTGACCGGTCCAGAGATTCGGGTCAAACTTTTAACTACTCGTCGTAGAAATTGTGAAAAGTCCATCTTTCAACTGCGAATATAGGAGTGAGTGAATGAAGTGCATGAGTGTGGACTTTTTATAATGCCCAAACCTGAATTGAGCAAAGAAACATTTTGTCTATCATATCTAAGTGAAGGTAGGGGGAGAATCGGCTCCTACTATCGCACCTCTGCATGTGACGAGAAGCAAATCTCTACCTATCGGTTATCATATCCTCTTTCTGTGCGTGAACAATTACTTTATGGGTGGAAATACTTTTTATGGATATTTTCGTCAAAGAGCTGGCATTCTTTTCAGTGATCAGCAAGAAACCGGATGTTATGGTAACCGGGTAGGGTACAGACCATAGTGTTTAGCAAATATGGATTAGGGATGGCACAATCATGTCTGCATACCTTCTTCAAGTTGATGGTAGGTCATGTTGGAGCGCATTCGCTTCACTCATAAC